CAATGAAACACAACTGTGATCATGGGTTAGGTCTATGAACAGGTATTTCATATTAAAAGATCATACGATCATCACATGCTTTACCCAGTGATGCATAACACATATTTGCTTATTTCTAGGGTCTTTGCTACTTACAGTATCATAATTAAACTTATTTACCTGTTCATCAAACATTTGAGCGGATGAAATAATTATAATGAGCAAATCACCAAACGCTACAGTTAATAACCAAGCTGCTGTAACTATAGACTTCATGCTATGCGGTGCCTAAATAACAAGCGTGATAAATTATGTGAACGTTAATATAACCATTTAAGTTATTTAATAATTTTTAGTTTAATTTATACCTGGGAATATGAGAATTCCAACCCAGTAATTGAAAACATAATCTCACCGGCAGTTATCACAGCGTATTGAATCACTTGCAAGAATACGGACAGCGAGTTCGGCGCAACTAAATTGTGCGTGATGCCCGCTAATTTACCCTGTTAAAAATGGTATAAATATTAGAAATGACCTTACTCTATCTCTAAATTACGTACATTTTCATCTGAATATATAATTGACAAATAAGCGCCGCCTTGAAGAAGGTCTATGCCTTTAATGGCCAAGTGGGCATAACTATCAAGATCAGTTGCTAGTAATAATAATTCGTATTCACCGCCTTTGTGGACACTAAGTTCCTTTTTATACGGCACATAACCCTCGTAGCGTTTAGTATCGCCAGTGATAGTAGGGTGACCATCGCTTGTAGTGGATCTAAAATATTCAACGAACTCGCTATTATCAAACTTGAATGTAATGTATGCGTCATTTTTAATATTTAAAGTCGGTTTTGACACTGAGTCACGTATATTATAGGCAACGGCGGCCAACGCACCACCATTTACCGGTTTGGCGAGCAGGTCTATTGTTTTGTCAAATTCAAGCAATTTTAGCTTGTTTGTCGGGTCGCAAATTCTCTCGGTTATAAATAACAGACCACTTCTCTGAAATTCAGGACTCAATTGCTGGGAATATTCCACATTCGGCAAACAGCCGGGAATATTCGCACCGCCCGTAAGGGTAATGTCAAACGTTAACCCTTTTGATGTTAACTCGTTTATGTCGACATTAGGTATGGTGTGAATGTTGTACTTATCCAGCGACAGGCTTTTCTCTGTAAATAATAGGCTGTTTTTTACCGTAATCTCACTATTTAAACCATTAACTATAGTCATGTGAATAGAGTGACCAGATAGCGCGGGTGGCAATTCAGTTTCAATTGATAACTGGTAAAAACCGCAAATGGCAAACGCTACCCCTGCCAACACACCGCCCGCCACCATTCGCTGTAGTGGTCTTTTGAGCAAGTTGAATTTGATTAACACAGGGTATATAACGTAATTAAACAATGGTATGCATAAAATGATCAATATGGGATTCACTATCCCTATTTGATCAGGTTTCATACGATAACTGCCTAATTTACCATCCATTTTAGTAGCTTGTAGTGTCCAGCGCGAGCCCTAGAAATTGTGTTTTAATTAATAAACTATTTTCCCATAGGATTATTGTAACGAAATGTATACCTGTTGATTGAATAATGCCCAGAAAATTGGTAAAGGTAAATACAGAAATAATACTCGCATTACAGCTTTTATATCGGCTAATGTTTGTGCCTAAAATAAATACAATAGGATTTTATTTAATTAAATTTATATAAGTTATTTCAATTATAAAAATTTTGTACATACATCGTATTTATCATCCGCATAATCTAACCAATGATCGCGTTTTGGCACTTTTTTGAACCACTTTCTCGATAGCGATGTCTATTTTAATTTTGACAAATAAATTCAAGATAAACATTATTAAATAATTTTATTTGTATTATGTTACTTAAAAATGTTGAAATTCCCTCATTTAATAGAGTGACCAATAATAACACTGATTTTTATGTAAGCTATAAGTTCTACTAAATAATACTCTGAATTATTAAGTATACTGAGTGAGCACTTTGTGACCGTAATTTATCGGTCATTTAATGTCCAATAATGCATTAAACAATGGAAATACTCATTTATTAATAGATGTTAATCACAACTTACAAAAACACATTTGACCACTTGAAGCACGATGCTTTCTTTTTGGGGCGGATTTATTACATAAGTGGTCAGATAGCGACCGGACACGAATAGCACCAGGGCAACAATCATTAAAACAGCCGGCACACCAAATGCCAACGGGTAACACGAGGTCCGACCAAAACACATGACATCTTCCCTCATAATAGGTGTCGTGGATGTGGACAATAGGGACCCGGCGTTGATCGCGATGTAAAAAAATGAAAAAAATCGTGCCAGGTGCTTTTCCTGACCAGGGCCAAATTGATCACCGCCAAACGCTGACACACTTTTTAATTAATTATTTTTATATTATGCTTAATTATTCATATAATCCAACGGACAATAGATTTTTATATAACATTGTCAAATAAAATCTCATATAATATAATTTACCATGGTTTTATGCCACCTGTACCCAACGCGATTGCTGCTAAACCGATCCACACAATCCAGCTAATATGTTAACTTATGTGTTAGTTTAGTTTATTTATTATTTTAACAGGTAATTAATTAATTTAAAATTTGGCACCTTTTCTCAGCTACGGCCGAATAGGAAAGTACAATGTTGCCGATTGCATACAATATTGATAAGTAAAATATAGTCCTGTTTTAATTATAATAATTAAATATATTTTTAATTAATTGTAAAATGGAAAAAATATTTATTTGCCTGTATTTGCCGAGGTATGTGTCGGCTATAATGGCGCCAATAATCGGGGTAAAGTAGCACAAACTTGAATATAAATGATAGTACTCAGTGGCTTCGTTGTCAGAATAGCGAATAATTTGTGTAAAATATAAGACCAAAATTGCTACAAAATAATAAATAATTTTATTTTATACATAATTTATATTGTAAATAACAATTAGACTTAAAATTTAATTATGTGTATTACTAAAATATATTGTAATCTATTATATTTATAAAGTTATTATTTGAAACATTTCAATAACCTTTGAACAAGCTTTAATAATTAACGTTAAGACCCATAACCTAGGCAAAAACGTCACATAATGAACCACACATTATAGAAAATTTATATGCTTGGTATACATTGGTAACGTTTCTGCCCGATTATATTATGTAAATCAAATGTTATAAATGCAATTACTTTTTGCCCCATAATATGTGAAACGTTCGCAAAATTCATTGCCGATAATGAACGGCACGGATCGGGGATACCGTAGTTTAGGGACTGATGGTTGGGCTTCATCGGGGTAATTGTCGTGCGCTGGCTCTGACTTCTATGAGAAATAATTAAAATTTTATAATATATTGTAATTTTAAAATATGATTTCTTAATGAATCCCTTAATAATTTATAATTCATTTCAATTTAAATAAGTTATTTTTGTTAACTAAATAAATAAACAATCTAACTGGATAATAAATTATTAACAAAATTAAAATAATTATTAAACACCTAGATTTACTACATGAAAAATATTCAACTTACCATGTTTACTACGCTTTGTGTTTTTAAAGTTAGATTTTTGTATTTTAGCACAAACGCGATAAATTAAAAAATAGTCATAATTTGTAGTGGTGTACATTATATTTATTAATTCTGTTATACAAAGTCCTATCAAAATTATAATTCTTTTATAGCCAAATAAAAGTTAATTATTTTTACATAATTTTTATAATTATATCTTTTATATGAGTTTTTAACTTCCATATAAGTTACTACAAACTATAAAACTAATGTAGTTGTTTAAATTGATGTTTATAATTAATTTCATTATTAAATTATTTTCTAACCTTATCAATATAACATGTGCATGATTTTTATTGAAATGTTTAATACGGTATATTAAAAATGTATTATCATACACCTTTATATACCGTAAAATCTTGTGCATTACCCGCGGGTTATACAAGGAAAAAAGTGAACTTTTTGGGAAAATTTTCATGGACGGCTTACTTTTTTGAAAGAATTTTGTTCAAAAACAATTATTTTAATTTAATAATTACTTAAAATTGTTAATAATATTATTTATTAAGTTAATGAGTTAGTTTAGGCTAGGTCAGGGTAGGTTTNTTTTTGAAAGAATTTTGTTCAAAAACAATTATTTTAATTTAATAATTACTTAAAATTGTTAATAATATTATTTATTAAGTTAATGAGTTAGTTTAGGCTAGGTCAGGGTAGGTTTGACTAGTTATTTATTTAATTTAAGTGAATTTAATTTAAGTGCGGGTTATACATGAGTGCGGGTAATGTACAAGATTTTACGGTAATACAATGAACTTTTTCAAAATTTCATGTTTACCCTTATAATGCACTCAATAAAATCAAGTTTTATAGTAAATTATCTTAATAATGTCTGCACACAATGCATTTAATTAATTATCCTTATAATGTAGATAAATATACTTTTATTATGCGGATAAAATAACTTTATATATAAGACATTAACTATGGTAAATTAAGGTATGTTTACTAACAATCAGTAATAAATTCAGTATTAGCTGAACCTAAATACACAGTTAAGGTCTAAGTCATTAAATTAAATGATCTTCATGCAACATATAAAATATTACCTAAATAGATATTATAATGTTTATATATTTGTGCCAATAATATCCTCTTTCATCAAGGAATTGCGATTATTATAAATATAATTTTATGACATTTATAAATTTAATAATTATACCTTTGTACCTTTTAAATAAGTATAAACATTCTGTAATAGTAAAGGACATTGTGTATTATTTTATACATAGGTGTTAGTAATTTGGGCATTGAATTAAATTATAACAATATTATTTATTTATATCTTAAAATTAGGCAAAAATATTTTATTTTAAAAGTAAAGTAGTATATTAACTTTAATTTAATAATATAACATGATGTTTGATTTAATTATTTTACTATTTACATATGTTTAACATCAATATTATAATATATAATAATATATAAATAATAATATAAAGTAATAATAATGTAATACTGTAATATATAATGTATAAATTAATTGTTTCCGTTTAATTCATTAGTATTGATAGAATTTCTAGCATTCATTTTATTAGGATCATTTACTTTATCACCATCATCAGTTGTCCCTTTATAAGGTTGATAAAAATAGGCAATTATTGCAAACACAATCATATCGGCAACCATTAGACCAGCGAAGAAAAAGAACTCGTTTGACTGTTTGAACAAACATTCATTATAATTAAATCTTGTTTATAAATAATTAAATATGTTGTAATAAATTATTTATACCAGGTCATCAAATAATTTGGCCGACGATATAATTATGACGATCAAATCACCAAACGCTACGGTCAGGTACCACGCGGCCCCTACTAGTGACTTCATGCTAGCTGGTGCCTAATTAATAAACGTGATAATTATTTTATTTATCCATCAAGTTAGTTTTAAAATAAATTTTATACTAATGCAAAAATTGGTTTAATTGTTATATTATAATTTTATAATAATTATAAGCAAACACACCTGAGAATACGAGAATTCCAACCCTGTAACTTGCAACATAATTTCACCAAACGTTATAATAGCATATGGTATTATTTGCATGAGCACAGATAATGTGTTTGGTTTAACTAAGTTGTGCGTTACACCAGCCAATTTACCCTGATAAAACAAACAAATTACAGTATAATTAACAAACCTACATGTTTAAAATATTAACAACCAACATTTTCGTCCGTGTAAATTATTGACACATAGGCTCCGCCCTGTAGAAGTTCGATGCCGTTAGTAGCTGAATGAGCTAGGTTATCCTGGTCATTTTCCAACAATAATAACTCATAGTTGCCACCCTTGTGAACATTAAGCTCCTTTTTATATGGCACGTAACCCACGTAGCGTTTAGTATCGCCAGTGATGATAGGGTGACCATCATTTGTAGTAGAATTAAAATATTCCGTGAACGCGCTGTTATTTAACTTGAATGTAATGTACGCGTCATTCTTGATATTTAATACTGGTTTTGACACTGAGTCACGTATATTGTAGGCAATGGCGGCCAATGCACCACCGTTTGCGGGTTTAGCGAGTAGGTTTAATTCTTGATCAAATTCTAGTATTTTTAACTCGTTTGTCAGCTCACAAATACTCTCGGTTATAAATAACAAACCACTTCGCTGAAACCCGGGACTTAATTTTAGGAAATAATCCCGATTTGGCAAACATCCCGGTATATTTGTCACATCATTTAGGGTAATGTTAAACGTTAATCCATTTGATGTTAGTTCATCGATATTAACATTATTTAATGTAAACACATTGTATTTTTCTAGCGTTAAGCTTTCACTGGGAAATAATAGACTATTTTTTACCTTAATCTCGCTATTTAACCCGTTCACAATTGACACGTGAATAGAGTGACCAGATATAACAGGTGGCAATTGATTCTCGATAGATAATTGAAAAAAGCCACAAATAGCAAACGATATGCCCGCCAACACACCACCCACTACTATTCGCTGCAATGGTTTTTTAAGCATGCCAAATTTGCCAAGATCACCCATATACCGTATCAACTTGTGCCCATATTTGTTTTCATGGTTATAGCATAACTGATGTGGATAAACTAGGCCAAAATATCACTTTGATGGTTAAAATGGTTGGTAAAAATGGCGAACGTCACTCCACCGGGAGCCCTATGGTAAATGTGATTATAATTAATAAAGCTGTGTTCCGTAGCAATAACATAGAACTCAATATACCGTTTGGTTGAATAGTGCAAAAAATAGTGGTATAGGTATATACAAAAACAATACTCTCATCACAGCTTTTATGTCCTCGATTGTTTGTTTCTAAAAATAATTAACTTGTTAATTATGTATTTTTATTAGTTAAATAATTAATTACTTATTTTTATTTACATCATATTTATCGTCCGCGTAGTCTAACCAATGGTCGCGTTTTGGCAACTTTTTAAATAACTTTCTCAATAGCGATATCTATTGTAAAATAACAATTTCTGTCAGTATTACATAAATTTAGATAAATTAACTGGTTACAAAATAGTTAGCCCTAACACTAGAGTAATCACTAAACTAATATGCTTTCATTTAACAATAATTAACAGTGGTAAAAAAATATAATTTAGCTTAAAACAAGAATTAAAATAATTTTTAGCATAAGTCAATGATTGGAATAAAATCATCTAATCACAATAAGTAAACAATAACAATCACCAACTTACAAACACACATTTGACCACTTGAACTACCACACTTTCCTTTTGAGGCGGCACAAACACGTACGTGGTCAAATAGCGGCCGGACACAAAAAGTGCCAGGGCCACCAACATTAATAAGGCGGGTACACCAAACGCCAACGGGTAACACGTCGTGCGACCAAAACACTGCACATCTTCCCTCATCATTGGTGTAAAAAACATGGACAATAGGCCCCCGGCGTTGATAGCCATGTAGAAAAATGAAAAAAATTTGGCTAATTGTTTTTCCTGACCAGGGCC